AAAAAAAAAAAAAAAAAGAACTTGTATCCAGAATATATAAAAAGAACTCTTACAACTTAATTATAAAAGAATAAATAATCTAATTTAAAATGGGCAAAGGGGCGGCACCCATAGCTCAGTGGGTCGGGCACCGGCCACATACACCAAGGCTGGCGGGTTTGAACCCAGCCTGGGCCAGCTAAAATCAACAATGACAACTGCAACAACAACAACAAAATAGCCAGGTGTTGTGGTGAGTGCCTGTAGTCCCAGCTACTTGGGAGGCTGAGGTAAGAGAATCACTTAAGCCCATGAGTTGGAGATTGCTGTGAGCTGTGACGCCACAGCACTCTACTGAGGGCAACATAGAGAGACTCTGTCTCAAAAAAAAAATAAAATAAAATAAAAAGACAGAAATGGGCTGGGCATGGTGGCTCATGCCTGTAATCTTAGCATTTTGGGAGGCCAAGGTGGGTGGATTGCCTGAGCTCACTGGTTCAACACCAGCCTGAGCAAGAGCAAGACTCCCATCTCTAAAAACAGCCAGGTGGGGCCATGCCTATGCCTCAGTGGGTAGGATGCCCACCCCATATACCAAGGGTGGCGGGTTTGAACCCGGCCCCGGCCAAACTGAAACAAAAAAGAACTGGGCATTGTGGCAGGCACCTGTAGTCCCAGCTACTCTGGAAACTGAGGCAAGAGAATTGCCTAAGTCCAGGAGCTGGAGGTTGGCTGTGATGCCATGCACTCTACCAAGGGCAATAAAGTGAGACTCTGTCTCAAATAAAATAAAATAAATAAAAATAGTCAGGTGTTGAGCAGCGCCCGTAGCTCAGTGGGTAGGATGTCGGCCACATACACCAGGGCTGGCAGGTTTAAACCTGGCCTGGGCCAGCTAAAACAACAATGGCAATTGCAACAACAATAACAACAAAATAGCCAGGTGTTGTGGCAGACACCTGTAGTCCCAGCTACTTGGGAAGCTGAGGCAAGAGAATCACTCAGCCCAAGAGTTTCAAGTTGCTGTGAGCTATGATGCCATGGTACTCTACCGAGGGTGACTCTATCTCAAAAAGAAAAAAAAAAAGAGAAATAATAAGTGTTGACAGGATGTCAAGAAAGTGGAATCCTCATACACTGCTGCTGGGAATGTAAGATAGTGCAGACACTTTGGAAAACAATCTGGCTATTTCTCAAAAGGTTAAAAACGCAGTTACCATATGACCCAGCAATTCCACTCCGAGGTATATACTCAGGAGTAATGAAAACATATGTCCACACAGTAACTTTTTCATGAATGTTAACAGCAGCATTATTCATAAAAGCCGAAAGGTGGGAAAGAAGCCAAATGCCCTTCAATGGATGGATGGATAAACTAAATGTGGTCCATCCATACAGGAGACTTTTTTTTTTTTTTGAGACAGGCCTCAAGCTGTCCCCCTGGGCAGAGTGCCGTAGCATCACAGCTCACAGCAACCTCCAGCTCTTGGGCTTAGGTGATTCTCTTACCTCAGCTTCTGGAGTAGCTGGGAGTATAAGTGCCCGCCACAATGACTGGCTATTTCTTTTTGTTGCAGTTTGGCCGGGGCCAGGTTCAAACCTGCCACCCTCAGTATATGGGGCTGGTGCCCTTCTCACTGAGCCACAGGTGCCGTCCGGGAATGGATTTCTTTTGTCATCTCCTCCTGTCATGGTACTTTGTTAGGGAACAAGGCCACCATGTGCTAAGCTGGAAGGGACTTTGCCCCCAAGGCAGGGTGTTAGGAGGAGGTAGGTCAGACTTATAGATACTAGGTGGTGCTCCTCAGTCCCCTTGGCCCTGGAGAGGTCAGGAGCACTTGGTCTGCCCAGGCCATCAGCAGCCCTATCCTGTCCCATAGACAGATCTGCACAGCTGCCAGCCCCTTGCAATCTGCATAGCTCCTGGCCTCCAGGGCTACCTCCCCCTGAACCTGTAGCTGAGAGGAAAGCTACTCCAGACTTGAGTTGGGCACCACACCATGTAAGGACTTGTTCAGCAGGACCCCTGCTCTTTTTTTTTCTTTTTCCTTCTCCATGTTCCCCCATTCACAATACAGACCAGGCCTGGGGCCTGGGCTGGGGTGTACATAGGGAAGGTTTACTTTGCCTCTTTCTTTCTTTCTTTTTTTTTGAGATGTCTCACTTTGTCACCCTCATTAGAGTGCTGTCGCATCACAGCTCACAGCAACCTCAAGCTCTTGGTCTTCAGTGATTCTCTTGCCTCAGCCTCCAGAGTAGCTGGAACTACAGGCACCCACCACAGGGCCCGGCTATTTTTTCCTCAGTTTTTTTTTTTTTTTTTGGGCCGCGGCTGGGTTTGAACCCGCCACCTCCAGTATATGGAGCCAGCGCTCTACTTCTTGAGCCACAGGCACCGCCCAGGTCTGGCTATTTTTTTGTTGCAGTTGTCATTGTTGTTTAGCTGGTCTGGGCCGGGTTCAAACCCGCCACCCTTGGTGTATATGGCCAGTGCCACAACCATTGTGCTATGGGTGCTGAGCCTGCCTCCTCTTGCTATACAGTCAGTGTAAGAACACAGCCTGTGGTAAGCTCCAGGAAGTCACAACCCCTGCTCTTTGACCCACCCAGCTGACTTTACTCTCCTGAGCTCTAGAAGTTTCCCCGACCTGCTTTCCCAAGTCTGCACTGTTCCCTGGCTGGCAAGGCTGGGGAAGTAGCCCTCTCCTAGGCTCAGAGATTCCTTCCCCAGCTCAGACAGTGCCAGGACAGGCCCTCATCTCTTCTCCCAGACAGCTCAGACCTCTGTCTCTCTCTTTCTTTCTCTCTTGCTGGCTCAGTTCGTCATCTCCTCATGTCATGGTACTTTGTTAGGGAGCAAGGCTGAGCTGGAAGAGACTTTGTCCTCAAGGCAGGGTATGAGGAGGAGGTAAGTTAGACTTATAGATGCTATTACCCACCCAGCTCAGATAGTGCCAGGATAGACCCTGTCCCCAGAAGGCCCTCCCCCTTCCCCAGAAGTCCCACCCCTAGCTCCACCCTCCTATGCACTAAAAACCAGCTGGGGTCACCTACCAGAGCAGAAGCTAGCTGCCTTTTGTGCTAGGACTACAGGGAGGACAAGGTGACTATATCAGTGTGGTCAGGCTGGGACATTTGGCCTTCCTGGGGGTAGCTGGGGTCCCTGAGGCTAATGACACTGGGAGAGGGAGGGATGCTTCTCTGAGACAATTTTTCTCATTCCTGTTCCTCCCCAGCAGACCCTGGCCCCTGGAACTCTACTGGCATGTGCTTCCATAAGGTAAGTGGCAATGGGGACAGCCCTGGAATCCCATGATCCACCAGGTTGCTGGGAAGGTGGGGGGATAGAGTGGGCTTCACAGGGGTGCATGCTCTGCTGTCACTCTCTTGAGGTCCTGGGTCATCACTAGCTAGCAGCCCCACAGGCTCATTTTGCTATGGGTCCTTAGAGACCCAGTTACAGAGCAGGAAGGCTAATCTGGGAGGTGACTTAAAAGCTACACTGTGTGCACTTAGAGGAGTCTGGAAATAGTTCTGTGGTCTAAGCACTTCCTGTGTGTGTGTGTGTGTGAGTGTGTGTCAAGGCTCAGTCAGAAACGCTGAGTGACAATATACAGGTTGTCCCAAAGGTCACCATAGATACGTACATAGGGAAAATGGGAAATTCTAGCTAAATGCACCTTTATTTACAAAATATTCATTACAAAATGTTATGAAATATTTACAAAATGTTTCTCTACATGTTGATATATAAATATTAAAACAGAAAAGTGGGGGCAGCACCTGTGACTCAGCAGGTAGGGCGCTGGCTCCATATACCAAGGGTGGTGGGTTCAAACCTGACCTCGGCCAGCTAAAACAGCAGTGGCAACTGCAACAAAAAATAGCCGGGTATTGTGGCGGGCACCTATAGTCCCACCTACTCAAGAGGCTGAGGCAAGAGAATGGCTTAAGCCCAAAAGAGTTGGAGGTTGCTGTGAGCTGTGATGCCACAGCACTCTACCGAGGGCGACAGAAACTATCTCCAAAAAGAAGAGTCTCAATTAGCACCTCACAGGGTGGTGCCTGTGGCTCAAAGGAGTAGGGCACTGGCCTCTTATACCAGAGGTGGTGGGTTCAAACCCGGCCCAGCCAAAAACCGCAAAAACAAACAAACAGAAATCAGCACCTCACAGAGGAATGGCTGCTGTTTAGAATCCCCATCCCTAACAGGCTCCTGCCCTGGCCGACTGTCATCCAGGACCATAGAGGGTATAGAAACCAAGTTGACCCAGCACATGCCAATGCAATGTTCATCCTCATGCACCTGTGTGTGTGTGTGTGTGTGTAGCTTGTCTGCTGGGGGGAGGTCACGTAAGGCCTGAGCATCACTGTCATTCCCCTAGATCAACCCTGATGACTTTAAAGCTTGGAAGAACAAAATGGTAAGGCTTTTCCCCACATGTGCTTGGGCTATGGGGTGGGGGCCTGGTTCTCACCCTGGGCGGCCAAGGATGTTCTGGCCCACCTGGGACCTAGGAGGGAGAAGGATCTGGCCTGTTGGCCCCAACTCTGCCTCTCTTCCCAGCACCAGGACTTAGAAAGAACCATGGATAAGCTCCTAAGTGAAAATTCAGCACAGGCTGAACAGGTGAGTCCATGTCCCAGCAGCTGCTTGTCAGATGTCTCCACCCCCAGGCTGTCTACAATGTGGGGAGTGGTTTCCTGACATGGATGATGAAGACTGCCACCTCAACATGCTCACACCTACACTGGGACAGACCCTGGCAACCCATTTCTCACTTCACACCTGTGGGGCAGAAAAATGTATGGGGGGGTGCCTGTAGCTCAGTGGGTAGGGCACTGGTCACTGAGGTAGCTGGGCAGGCCAGCTAAAACAACAATGATAACTACAACAACAAAATACCCAGGCGTTGTGGTGGGTACCTGTAGTCCCAGCTACTTGGGAGGCTGAGGCAAGAGAATTGCTTAAGCCTAAGAGTTTTTTTTTTTTTTTGTAGAGACAGAGTCTCACTTTTGCCCTGGTAGAGTGCTGTGGCATGACAGCTCACAGCAACTTCTAACTCCTGGGCTCAGGTGATTCTCTTGCCTGCCTCAGCTTCCCGAGTAGCTGGGATTACAGGTTCCTGCCACAACACCCAGCTATTTTTTTGTTGTTGCAGTTTGCTGGGGTCGGATTTGAACCCACCACCCTCGGTATATGGGGACGATGCCCACAGGCGCCGCCCTAAGCCCAAGAGTTTGAGGTTGCTGTGAGCTGTGACACCATGGCACTCTACCCAGAGCAACAGCTCAAGACTCTGTCTCAAAAAAAAAAAAAAAAAAAAGTATGGGGAAAGGGGGATTCAGAGGATTCAGAGGCCCAGGAAGGTATCTGAGTCCCACAGAACATTAGCAACACAACGGGCAGTTTCAGTGGGTAGGATGCCGGCCCCACATATGCATTCAAACCCGGCCCCAAACAACTACAATAAAAAAATAGCTGGACATTGTGGCGTGCACCTGTAGTCCCAGCTACTCAGGAGGCTGAGGCAAGAGAGTCACCTAAGCCCAAAAGCTGGAGGTTGTTGTGAGCTATGTGAGGCCATGGCACTCTACCAAGGGCGATAAAGTGAGACTCTGTCTCTACCAAAAAAAAAAAAAAAAGAATATTAGCAACACAACAGGGATGTCAGACCCCAGACACCTGGCTGGATCCAGTTTGGGGAGTGGGATGGCGGGGGCGGCTGAGGCCAGGCAGGGGTGGAACTAAAAAGTGATTTGTTCCTAACAGACTGAGTCAAGCCTGGAGGACCTAGAGGTGAGTTGTGGTCCCATCCTCCATGACTTAGTGCTCCCCAGATATTTGGTCTGGGCTCCCAGTCCCCTTGGGAGGTGACAGGAATTGCAGCAGGCAGAAGCAGGCCTGCAGCCCTAGCACCCTCCTGGAACTGAGTGGTTTGTTCCTAAGAGATAGAATCAAGCCTGGAGGAGCTGGAGGTGAGTTGTGGCCCCACCCTTCATGACTTAGTGTTCTCCAGGTATTGGGTCTGGGCTCTTGGGCTCCTGTGACTCATCAGGACCCATGGGAGGTGACAGTGGGGACTACCCCAGCAGAAGCAGGCCTGTAGCCCTCAGCACCCTCCTTTCCCCAGGATGACTTCACTGACAGCTTCATTGGACTCATAGATGCTCATGTCCAGAGAAACAACCTGGTGAGTTTGAGTCGCCCATCTTAGCCTCCTGGCCTCTCCCTCATACCCTGCTTACCCTTACATAGGTGGGAGCAAGTGTGTGCCCAACCCCTCAAGCTGAGATGGAGGGCTGCCACCCCTGGCTTACCCCAGCACTAAGTGGCCAAATCTCTGCCCTCAACTCAATGTGCAAGGGAGTCCTGGTGGGCTGTTAGCAGAAGCCATCAGTGAACAGGCAGATCCAAGCACCATGTCTGTGGCATGGAGGGGAATTCAGGAGTGAGGCCTCTAGGAAAGTATCTTGTGTCTGTGTCCGTGTCCGTGTCCGTGGAGCTAGTGGCAGGAAACCACCATCTGTGGTTTCTGTCTCTCAGATTCACACAAAGGCCAAGAGGCCTCAGCAGGGTCAGGGCATGGGCTGCACCCCTCCCCCGCCTACCGGACCTTGAATGACCCCCCCATTCCGCAGGAATCCATTCCTCTACTTCAAGATATAAGAAAGGAATTTCGTAATAGAGTCCGGAGACCCAGACCCCAGAGGTCCTCTGTCCCAGAAGATCCAGAGGCCCCGGACTCTGACGAGACCTTTTTGAAGCGAGTGGAAAGATTATTCCAAAAGATGCTGGAGAAAATGCAAGCAATGTGGCAGAAGGCGCTGTCCTGGCTGTGGAAGATGCTGTCCTGGCTGCAGGAGGCGCTGTCCTGGCTGCAGGAGACTGTGAAATCCTTTATCCAGGATTTTGTCTGCTTTGTGAAGTATTTGTGGAACCAACTTAAGGGTTTCTTCTGTGCTCTGGCATCCTTCTTCCGCCAGGCCCTCTGTGTCTAAGGAGCCCTGCCAGGTGGATCAAGGAACACTTTGACACACCTAAGAGCCCTCTGAGCCCCACTTCTCAGAATGAATCTTCTACAGGGTCTTTGCCCTCCTGCTCACCCCTGACCCACTCCCTCAGCCTCTCCCTGTCCCCCCCCTCCATCCCACCCACCAAATCCTCCCTGCCTGGCCTTCCTGCTGTAGTTCTGACCTGTCCTCTTGCTCTGGTGTCTTCATTAAAAAGCTGCCTAAATGGAATCCAGTGTCTGCTCAAGCCTACTCTGAGGCAGGCTTAGGTGGGGCTCTGAGGAAGGCAGGAGACAGGGGACCTGGTGAGGGCAGACAGAAGATGTGGGTCAGATGGACCCAGGCAGGGCTTCCAGCTTTGGATAAACAAAGATGAGCTACCTGACATCTATTTACAAGGGAACACTGGTCACCACAAAGTCTCAGGCCATGAGATTTCAGCCCCACAACTGGCCCCATCACAGGCCACAGCAGGCACTCCTTGGATGTCTGCTCCTGGAATAGTAGGGAGTTGTCCATGCTCCCCCCAGGAGGCGACTTTGGCCTCATAGTTTTCTTCTCATACCCCCTCTTTCTGCCCTGAGCACTCCAGCTGGGCTGAGGGTAGAACTGACAGGACTCAGGAACAGCCCCACCTGCCAGGGTTGAAGGAAGAGGAGGGAGGAGGGAAGGGGGAGGTCAGTGTCATATCTCTGGGCCTGAGGCCTCATCCCTGCCTACAACTGCAGAGATTGGGGGAACTCAGGAGCAAAGCTTAGGGGAGAGGGAGCACTTCTTACCATTTCTGAGGCCAAGTTCACCTTCTGGAAGGGGCTGCACCCTCTTCCCACTTCCACTCTCAGGCTTATGCACACAGACCAGAGGAGGAAGCACCTGCAAGGCCAGGCTCCCTGGACCTGATGTTTGGGGCTGAGTCCATTGTCTAGGGAGGGAGCTTGGATGTGCTGAAGGATATGGGGAGGGGATGGGGGGCCAGGAGGCCTCACAGACCAAGACTTTCCTGTGGGTCAGTATACCAGTCCCTTCTCTGACCCTTTTGGACCACTGGAATAAACTCTTGAGGTTTAGAACAACCATCCTCATGGGACCAGCTGGGAGTCCAATAAGGGAAGCATCTGGATAGTGACCCTGACATTAGACTTTGGTGTCCCAGACAATCTTGAGGGGCCTTGCTTGCTTCCAGCCCCTGCTCCAGTAGCCCTAGCAGGGCTTTAGGGAAGTGATGGAGGAAGGGTCTTCCTCCACCCTTGTGGCCCTGCTCTCCTTGTGGCCCTTCCTCCTCCTTCCTGAGGAAGAAAGGGGCCCAATCTGGGAACTCTGTTCTACAAAACCCCAAATGGTCCTCACTTTCTTCCTTCACATACTGGAGACCCCTCTGATGTCCTTTGGAGACTGGAAGATGCATCTTTGGCCTGTGCCCAGCTCTGAGGAACTGCCCATTGCCAGGTTCTGATTCAGCCTTCCCTTGCCCTTAGTTATGTCCCTGGATCTCCTCTTCATCATTCCAGTTCTTTCTACCTTTCCTCTGTACTTCTGTCTCTCTCTCTTGTTTTATACACATGTGGGCCCTAATCTCTGATACAAGAAAGGCAGGAAATCTCTTTGTTATCAAGCCTTTGCCAGCTCAAATATAATATATGTGGCAGAGTTAGGCCCATTTGAAAACTTAACGAATGTGCCAGAAAGAAAACCATCCTAATTCCCTTGCACTTCTCATTCGACTGACTGCCCCACCCCCCACCCCCATCAAATCTCCACTCACCTCCTTCCTTATATCCCCACACTTGGCTTCTTCTTACCTAGAAATCCTCCCACAATGCCAAGGTCACCAGGAGCTCTTGCGCCCTGTTAAAGTCACTATCACTGTGTGCCCCAACAACTGTAAAGGCTTCCTAGCTAGTATTACTGGCCTTACCTCTTCAAGCCATTTCCATCCAGTAGTTAAAATCTAAATGATTGTATTGCTTTTTGTTTGTTTTTCTTTTTTTTGAGACAGAGTCTTACTATGTCACCCTCAGTAGAGTGCTATAGTGTCACAGCTCACAGCAACCTCAAACTCTTGGGCTTAAGAGATTCTCCTGCCTCAGCCTCCCAGTAGCTGGGACTACAGGTCCCTGCCACAACACCTAGCTATTATTTTGTTGTAGTTGTTATTGTTGTTTAGCAGGCCCAAGCCGGGTTCAAACCCTCCAGCCCCAGTGTATGTGGCTGGTGCCCTAATTACTGAGCTACGGGTGCTGAGCCCTAAATGATTTTATTGTTGTATTTTTTTTCTTTTTTAGAGACAGAGTCTCACTTTTTCACCCTCAGTGGAGTACTGTGGCATCACAGCTCACAGCAACCTCCAGCTCTTGGACTTAAGTGATTCTTTTGCCT